ACTTTTTTAAAATACTTATTATTTTTGTTTTCCGTTGCCATATTTTGCTCATTTTTAATTAATTATGTTCTGCTTGAAGTAGTTTTTTTTTTTTTTTTTTTTTAGGTAGAACTAACTGTGGGTTTTAATATATTACTATTTATTATTATTATTTTATCACCCCATGTATGCTTGTGTAATGAAAATGCAATTAGACTTGGTGAAAGAAAAACGTTGATATGTGCAAATGTTTGAGGATTTGTGCTTACCATGGCGGGAATCCAAGGAGCTTGTTTTTGGGAAGCTTGTCTTGGATAAAATTTAGAATAAACTTTTTGTCTAGAAAATAGTGTTTTTCTCTTAACTGGGAAGGCTGATGCTAATTCGATCAATGTGGAGAGGGATCCCTAACTATTTATTGTCGATCGATCTTTAGGTTTTGGTTCTGGTGAGTAAGTTTATTGATAGAACGATGAAAAATTTCTTTTGGGAAGGGATTGACAAGGGGGAGGGTTGCACTTTGGTCAAGTGGGAAGTGGTTATGAAGCCGGTGGATCTAGGAGAATTAGATATTGGGAGCTTGAGGTTACCTAACAAGACTTCTCTGGCTTAGTGGTTGTGGCGCTTCTTCCTAGACCTTGACACGCTATGACATAGGGTGATTGTGAGCAAGTATGACCAGTATTTTTCGAGTGGATTGAGGGTGGTGGTTCTATGAACCTTAGAAAAAACCTCTAGAAAACTATTTATTCGGGATTTCCTTCTTTCTCACAGCTTATTCGTTGTTCAGTTGGGAAAGGTTTAAAAATATATTTTAGGGAGGATTTTTTGGGTTGGGGAAACCTTTGTGCGTTTTGTTTCTATGTTTATACCATATTTTGGACTAAAGGTTGCATTTGGTGGTCTAGGTGTTACTCTTCATCTTCACTTTTAGGCTTCTGACGTCCATTGATTGACAGAGAGATGACAAATGTTTTGGGTCTTCTTTCTATCCTATGAAACTTTCGGGTGTTCCCAGAGCGAAGAGATATTCGTATCTTGTTCCCTTATCCTTCTGGAGGGTTCTCTTGCCATTCCTTCTCCCATATTTTGTCTATCTCTTTTCCCTCCTTGGTTGCCTCTATCTTCTCCCTTCCTGGTTGCCTTTATATTCTCCTAATTCCAAAGAAAGTTAAGGTTTTTGAATGGTAGATTTTACTGGGAGAGCGAATGCCTTGGATCATGTCCAAAGACATTCTTTCTTTGTGTTGTTTTCAGAATGATGCATTCTCTGCTTGGAGTGAGAGAAACTGATTTTATATCTTTGTACCGGTGTGAAGCTCTCGTTGGGAGAGTTCCAAGCCTCTGGAAAGGTTGGAGAATATATTGTTTCTGTCTTGCTGAACTCATCCGTCCTAGTCTAATTCTCTTGAACTATAGTCCTGTAACAATTTTTGTCTTGGGCAATGTTTTTGTACAGCTCTGCGGATAAGTAACAAGCTAATCACCTTAGAGTGTAAATTTTATATTCTTTCACAATACAAGACAAGATATACGACAAACAAACTTTTCATTGAAGAAATGAGAGACTAATGCTGGTAGTGAAAGAAAATAAAACAAACATTATGAAGGAAAAATAAAGGCATCTCAATTCAAACATATATCTTGTAAAAAAAAGCGAATTAAAAGCTTAGTAAGAAAACATAAAAAGCTTGGTGGATCTTTTGTTAGGTTGTCCTTTTGTATTCCCTTTGTATTCTTTCCTTTATTCTTGATACAATCTTTAGTTCTTTATCCAAAAAGAATAGGTCTTGGTATAGAGCACCCACACGCCCACCCCTCTTCTTTGGTAGATCATCTACTTGGTTGAATCTCTTGTTGCTGTTCTGTTTTAGGGTGAGTTTGGCATGCCTACTTGTTTAATCACGTTTTTAGAATTTCTTTTTTTTAGTTCTTTTCATTAAAGTGATTTTAATTTGAAGACTTGTATGTTTGGTTATATCTTCTTAAAAGTAATTTTAATTCCAATTTTGTTTGGCTGCACAAAGTGATTCTATGAATATTAAGTTTTTAAAGATCATTGTCTTTCTTCTTTAATTTATAATTGGCATTCCTTTTTGTGGTTATTTCATTTATCAATGAAATTTGTAATTTCTTTACAAAAAACAAATTACCATAAAGAGAAGTGAAGAAGAGAAGCTTTAAATTTGATGTTGATTTTGTAATTTCAGCATCATTTGGGTCTTGTTATATACATTTTGAAGAACTTTTATTACGAAAGGTTTTCTTTAATGTTTCTAAAGTGATGGATAGAGAATCACTTGTTTTGATTATTTTTTTGTTACCAAATACTCAAGATAGTAACTTAAAACCAGCATTCTTTAAGGAGGCGGGCGGAAAAAGGGAGAGAACTCTTCGGCCCGAGCCTCAAAAAGGTTCATTTGCATATACATACATTCTATGGATTCTTAGTTTTGGAGCTTAAAAAGCTCCATAAATAAATGCGAACACTCAAGAAATCCATCGGAAACTTGTACAATCGATGCCACAATGATAGCCAACTCAATTATCAAAGAAATAAGGAGAACTCTTCTGAACTCTTGCCATTTTGATATATGTACTTACTGGAAGGATTTTCTATAACTTTCTTTAGTGGCGTTTATTTTTTAGTTTAACACGTAGATGTAGAAATTTTAACTTCTGATCTTTACTTGGGTTCGAGTTGGCTTCTTTAGGCTAGCATTGAGACTTTTTTCTCACTTTTTTGTATTGTTTTTATCATTACTATTATTTCATAGAAAATGAAACTTGTGTCAATCAAGCGAAGAGAAGCAGAGAACAAGTAGTGGGATTTACAAAAATGGATCCCAGTTAGCATATATCATCAAACTATCATACTCTCCCTTTTTGTATATTTCATTGATTTAATGAAATGCAATTTAAATCTTATCCAAAAGGAAAACCAAAAGAAAGAACTAAATACTCATAGCTTTTATGATGGCAGGTGCGTGACGAGATAGAGCATCTATTAGATGATAATGAAGATATGGCACAACTATATTTGACAAGGAAATGGATGCAGAATCAACAATCTGATGCTTTGCTGGGAGGTCTGGCTTCCAACAGCACCACTGCCATCGTTCCCCATCTTCGTCGACTTAGTTCCACCCGGAGCGGAAGTATGGTGACCAGCAATCTTCTTGATGATAATGATGTAGAGGATCTGGAAATGTTACTCGAGGCATATTTTATGCAGTTAGATGGGACTCGTAACAGGATATTATCGGTGAGAGCTTCGACTTATCATTGATTAAATTCCTTCTCTATAGTTGTGCCATAATCTAGACAGGTCAGAGTCGAGTTTTAAGGCGTATGTTATTCTCATTTTTATACGTGCAGGTTAGGGAATACATCGATGACACCGAGGACTATGTCAATATTCAACTTGATAACCAACGAAATGAACTCATTCAGTTTCAGTTGACACTGACCATTGCTTCATTTGCCATAGCCATTGAAACCTTAATTGCCGGGTTGTTTGGCATGAACATCCATTGTACATTGTACGATCGGGAGGGGATATTCGAGTACTTCGTCGGAGGTACTTCAGTAGGTTGTTTGTTGATTTTTGTACTTATTTTCGGGTATGCTAAATGGAAGAAGCTTCTCGGTTCATGATTTCACCTTGTTCAGCATGTTGAGCTGTTGTTTTATATCTGCAAAATAAATACTTGTATGCTTATGAATCAATAATTTACACAGCGTACCATAAGCTGATATTTCCAAGTCTTGAGTTTGTGCATACAAACATACTGCAATGTTATGAGAATTATTTCACCATTTATTTTCTAAGTACTTGATGCACTTCGTTATTATATCCTTGTGTTTAAATATTGGTCCCTTCGCTTGCTTTGAACTCTCGACCAATAGGTTTAAGCAGTGATTTCACGAGATTAGTTTTCAAAGTTAGTCAAGCTCAACTACTTTAAGCGAGGCTGATCCCATGGCTAAGATAGTCGCTCTAGAAGTTGTGCAGTAGCTTTAAGCGAGGCTAATCCCATGGCCAAGATAGTCGCTCTAGAAGTCGTGCAGTAGCTTTTGGCTTTGTCTGCGAATCCTACTAGTTTCTGGGGCCGTTCAACTCCTGTCAAAACTCAACTTCAATCAACTATCGGGGTGAGTACTCGAACTCGATAAGAAGAAACAAAATCAGAGCTTATGGGTACAAAGAGATCCAACTTTATTTAGTTGTTTCCTCCAACTTTGGCACATGGAATCTACAAATCTTTATTTTCTTATTATATTAAATATATATATATTCTTCTTTTGGAATTGCATTGCACGTACATAATTATTCTTTTATTTTTCAGAAATAGTTTTTTTTTTTTCAAAGCACGTGGGAACTTGAAAAAAAAAATAAAAATGACTCGAAGGAGAGCTTTGAACTTATGGAAAGAAATATATTTGTAACGTTTTAATCTAAATTTTGACTTCAACACGAGTCTTCTTATGATATTTTGTTTTCACTCACATGCTTCTTAAAAAAAGAGATTGAATTAGTATTTATAAATTTAATTAAAAAATACAAAATGGTTAAAAAAAACTTTCATTTTGAAATTTGGATAAAGAATTTAAAGTAGTTAAAAAAGGAAAAAAATTTAGTTGAATTTTGAAGATAATTATAAAAATTGAAATAAAATAAATGGATTTGGCAGCAAAAAAAAAAAGAAAAAAAAAAGAAAAAAGAGCTGGAAAATGATAATTTATACATCTTTTTTTATTACTTTTAATTATTCTAATTAAAATTTTCAATTCAGGTCTCCTGCCACTTAATTTCAGTCTCAGACTTGGGAGAAAAGAGGAGAGAGAGGGAGAGAGAGAGAGAGAGGGAAGCTCAGCATCTTGAGAGGTGGGGGTGGAATTTGGAAATACAAACCCTAGAAAGAAGGTGAATTTTGAAATCATTTTCGCTTTAATTTCATTCCTTTTTTGCGTTACTCTTCAAAGATCTTCGTTCTTCCGTCGCCACCAAGGTTAATTTCTCCCTCTCTCTCTCTCTCTCTCTTCTGTTTTTCTTCTGTTTCTACATGACAGGAATTATTTCCCATTTTCCCGCTTGCATTTTATTGAATTTGTTCTGATTTTTTTTCGCCTTTTATTCGCCTCCTTTCTCGTCCTCCCTTCCAATCTTGATTCTTTTTTCTTTGTTTGTCTTCTTCATTTTTCTCATCGCTGGAATTGTTTTTCAATTCGTTTTAATTTTTAATGCATCATTCTGGTTTTATTATGGTTGCTGAGAAAATGTGGTTGGGAATTCAACTGGGAGGATTTTACATCTTTCTCTCCAGAATCATCAGATGTTACTATTTAGATGAGAAGATAATGATCGGTATTAATCTTCTCTGCCTAGTTCTTACTTAACTAATGGGTAAGGGTAAATGGTTTTTTTATTTGGGACCTGCTGGCAGGTGTGGTTGTGTAAGATTTTCGACTTTTATTTGATACTTTTTTTTTGGGTGGGTACCCTCAATTTATCATAGTTAGTGAACTTGTTGTTTCCAGCTTTTTGACTACTTGATGTTTTTCTGGCTGATCTGCTATCGAATGTCCTCTGTTTTTCAGTGCCACTTCGTGGCATAGTTCATGATTTCAGATAACTGGTTTGCATTCGAGCGAGCAACATGAATGTTCACATGGAAAAATGTTGATGAATTATGAATGTAACAAGTTATTCTTGCATATCAGCGAAGAATTTAATTATACATGCAGATGTTTTTTGGACTGCTCTTTTATTGCTTCTTAACCTTAATCTGTTGTCCATGTTTATCTGTTTCTGAGATATTTCTCATCATGTTACAGGAAAAGGAATTTCTCGAATTTCATACCATGGCAACTTCAAAAGGGTCATCCAACGTCAGAAATTTTATGAGTTCTGGAAAACATGCACTACTCCCTCCTAAAAGTCCTTTCCCTAGTGTTTCTCCATCATATACTGAATATGTTCCTAATACTGCAATTGGAGCAAAAGCTGTTCAGAGACCAAGAGATGATAACAGCTACCATCAAAGAACTTCTTCCGAAAGCTTTCTAATAGAGGAGCAGCCTTCTTGGCTTGAAGATCTTCTTAATGAGCCGGAGACCCCTGTTCGCAGAGTTGGTCATCGACGTTCATCAAGTGACTCCTTTGCATATACAGATTCTGCTAATGCTAATTTTGATAGTATCGTGCAAGAAGACTTCAAATATACAAATTCTATTCCTGGACACTCTTGGTTATCTCAAGAATTTGATCGTCAGAGAGATGCAAGGCATGCTTCATTTTATACTGAAGCGAATGTGACAAAGCAGAAGAATAGGGTGTGGGAATCATCTTTGTCTGCCATGAATAATCCCATGGCTCTTCGTTCTCCCAGGGAGAACATTGTTGTTCATACCTCGGGACCATTGATCCCTCCGCAGGAGGCAGATGGTTTGCTTTCTACAGCAAGTGAAAAACAGGATCCAACTGAGTCTGGTCCACACGATCCAAAAGTCTCTTCTGAAAGGAAAGACGTGTCTCATGGAAAATCATCCGGGTCGGATACAGAAAATAAACGTGCCAAACAGTATGTATATGATGTTTTGCTTTGTTTTAGTATTTTCATATATACCCTGGACTCAAAATTGGCTAACATCTAGACCTGCCGTGCTTGTTTTAATCGAATACGTCCAGCCTTATTATTATTTTTCCTGCTTACCACTTATTAACTGTATTTTAAGTTCTTTTAGGAATTTGTAATTCAATGGAAACTGTTATCTATGTTATTAAGTTTTTCATAAAACCCATGTCTTATTGGACATTATTTTATATGATATTTTATGGCTTTATTTTTATATTATGCATTTTTTAAATATTTTTAAAAAAATAATATTCTATATCAAATCTCCACACCTAGACTCTATTTCTGTCTTTGAACACTTATCATCGTCTCTAATCTTTCAACATGGTATGGGAGTAAACAATTTTATTGTAGTTCTACACTTTTCTTTTTTAATGCATAAACTGTTCTAGAATTATACAGGCAATTTGCTCAGCGTTCAAGGGTTCGGAAACTTCAATATATAGCTGAGCTTGAAAGGAAAGTACAAGCTTTGCAGGTCAGTATATGATGAAATTATGAATTAGTGGCTCCATGTAGTTGATGTAAAAGCTCAAAGAACACCTCAAATTTGTTATTCCATAGGCAGAGGGCTCTGACGTCTCAGCTGAGCTTGAATTTCTCAACCAGCAAAATATTATTCTTAGCATGGAGAACAAAGCCCTCAAGCAGCGGTTAGAGAGTTTAGCTCAAGAGCAGCTAATTAAATACTGTAAGCCCTTATTCACTAGATATCTCTCCCTTTCTGTATACTGATAGAGACATAGGTAGGGTAGGTTGGTAAATATGTATACATATATATATATGATAAGTAGGTTGATATTTTAACTTGTGATATATTTGGAAAAATTGTGTTTTAATCATGAACTATGGTATTTATATGCAAAAGAACTTCATGTTATTATTACATAGATCTTTTGACGAAACTATGATGGGCTAGAAATCGATTAAGGTAGGGATTTCTTCCAGGCGAATGATTGCTGGAGTTCTCTCTTTGAATAAGGAAACCGAGCAAGGAATTTCATTTCATGAGAAATAGATAAATAAAGTAAGGGTTATTAAAAATCAGTCCAATCCGAAATAATCTAAAATTAATAAACAAAAGCTCCCCCAATAGGCTTCCTTGAAAAATAATTACGATTAAAAAAGCTTAAATCAGATATTTAGAGCATTCCTTATTTGATCCTTGTATTTTAAATTATTTCATTTTAGTTCTTGTAGGGACGAGATGGTTCTACAAGAGAAGTACAGGGACACATTTAAAATATATTTTATTCTTATATATTATTAATATACTTACACATATTATGTTTTCTGAAATCGTAAGTGTATGGAAAGTTTTTGAATTGCATGCAGAAACAAGTAACTGATGAATTTTATAGAAACCTAAACTTCTGTGATCCAAACTTGATATTTTACTTTGTAGACAATTCCATGTTTTGAAAGAACACTTACCTGCCATGTTATGAGCAGTATGATATTCCCCTATCCCTTTTATTTCTACAAGAAAGCTAAAAGATGAAACTATATACAGTGGAGCAGGAAGTACTGGAGAGGGAGATTGGAAGGTTAAGAGCTGTGCATCAGCAGCAACAACCGCAACAACTACGACCTTCTTCTAGTCATCGGCGTACTTCAAGCAAAGACCTTGACAGTCAATTTGTGAATCTTTCTTTGAAGCAAAAGGATTCTGGTTCAAGTTGTGACCCAGTAACAGGTCCAGTACGCAGTTAGGTTTCATGTTTGACTTCACGTGTTGTGCCTGGGGACGTTCGCCAAATTGGTGAACGAAAATGATTGTCACTTCATGCAAGACAAGCTGATCGCTTCCAGTATTGGTACCTCTCTGTTTCTCTCAGGTCTCCTTTTAATTCTCTGCCGCTGTTTCTGCCTTTTCCTGGAGTTAACATCTTCATATGCATGCACCTGGTGGTCATTGCCGTTGTCTTGTTTGTTCAACATGAGGTGTGTGGCCTACCGGAGGTGGTATCTGTCTGTACTGTATGTCTAATCAATTATAATTTACACCACTTGTAAGCACCATTTTTTAACTTTCATCCAAAAAAGTTCCGCTCCCACAGTGTGAACATCTTCTGTGCTGTTTGGACATTCAGTACCTGTAATGCATCACGGTGAGAAATAATTACATGATTCCATTGAAATCTCTGATTTACGGATGGAATGCTTGCCTAATCTCTCTCCCTCCATGTACTTCAGACTTGTTTTAACCATTTTTATGGCTGAGATGATCGAAATATTTTGATGTTCGTCCCGATGGGGTATCGAGAAGTGTGGTAGAGAAGTTACTTAGCAGTACATTACTTCACAAGCCCCATCACATTGTGTCGCAGGTCTATGAGTGTGGCTATTATGACATTGTTGGCCCCATCAACGTAAACTAGTTTGGTGTTGTAATTTTATGTTGATTGCGGTTGTTTCGACATTCTATTCAAGAATTTTTTTTGGTTGGTTAAATTTATGCCGTTGGATGGTATCTTGGAACATTCACTCACAAATTGTTCCCACAGTGATACAGTGTCTTCTCCTTGCAGATCATTGACTTGACTTTAGCCTTGTGCTCCCAACTGTACCAGGTTTTTTCAGCACTCTTTTTTACGTTTATAATGAAATTTACTCTTATGTCTCATTTGTGTCTCATATCATCCATTTTAGCCCGGTACGTGTAGTTGTCAACCTCACAATTTTAAAATGTATCGGTTAGGGAAAGGTTTCCACACCCTTGTAAGGTTTCCACCCCTTGGGGGCCAGCGTCCTTGTTGGCACACCATTGCCCAACTTGATACCATTTGTAAACAGTCCAAAATCACCGTTAGCTCACCGTTTGCAGAAATTGTCCGCTTTAGCCTATTATGTACTGTTGTCAACCTCACAGTTAAAAAACGCATTTTAAAACCATGTAGTGGCAATACGTAATGGATCATAGCAGACAATATTTGCTAACGGTGAGTTTGGGTTGTTTACTAATGATATCAGAGACTTAACGGTAATACGTAACAGGCCAAAGCAGACATTTAGATTGACATCTTGTAAGATTAATTGGAACACATATTTCATTCATGGTGAAAGCTTGATAATATAGTACGCAGACTCTAATGCACCATAATGTACACATATTGCAGAATTTGGCCTCAATTTAGTACAGGCCTGATTTTGGTCACCTTTAAAAGCTCGAAGAATAATGTCTAAAAACAATGATATTATGAAGGACGAGAAAAACTTATCATCTCAGCTAAAATTCTCGTCAGAACCATATGCAAATAAAACACAAACCTGTGCTATACTCGCTGCTTGTAACTTCCATTGCACTGTCATCTACTGAATTCCTCTGTTATAAGAATACAGAGAGAAAGAAAGAAGAAAACCTTGAACGTGGCGGCCATGGCCATGGCCCTGCGAGCTTCATTTGGGAGCCTTGGATATTGGTCTGGAGGTGGCATTACACATTCATCCCCATTGAACAAAATTCTTCTTGGGAACGCCCATCCTTCTCTGAAAGTGAAAATTTCTGAATCTTTTTGGAGAAGCATCTCTGTTTGAACATTCCCTCTTTCTCCTGATGTGAGTATCAAATCATTGTAGAACTGTATCCCCCAGAACATCCCTGTGTCATCTTCAGAAAGCACAATAAGACTTTACTCGGCCTTAAAAAACATGTTTCAGAGAGCGTTTGAAGTACAATTTTTACCATTACTTCTGAGAGAAATGCTAGTTTAATGACTAAAAAAGGGCTTCAATAGATTCAAAAGTACCTCAAATACAATCGAGAGAAATGGTCAAGTCTTTCAAACTCGTAAGATCAAATGAACAGTGGAGGAACTTACTTATGTGACCATATTGATTGAGAGGGCTGTAGTTGAAGCTGAAAACTTGAGTAATATTCCTCAAGTTGGGATGCAACACTACTAAGCTCCATTGAGAGTAGTTCTTGGCAAAGTTTAGATTTGTGATAGTTATCTTTACCCTCCAATACTGTGTATAGCTCTGTTTCACATGCCAATGCACCCTTATTGGGCACATATGCTGTGAACACCTCACCAATGGTTCTACTTCAGCAGTGTAGTGTTCATGTGGAAGCTGCAACACAGATGGAGTTTCACCTGACCTGTAAAACATTTTTGGACAGTAGAAGATTTTACTTGTCATACAAATAGCCTAAAATTGGCATGGAGATAAGTGTGGAACGTTACTCGACGCATTTCGTTCCCTCTATCCCTTGGCAGCCACAGCTGCACTGAGGGCAAGGAACAATGGTGCTGTTGTAGAAGGACGACAATGAAACACAGCACCCTGGAGCTGGTGATGATCGGAATTGCGAGTAAACACATGTCACATTCCATGTTTCTATAATCAGAAACAATATACACATCTCAGAGAAGGAGTTCAGTTAAGCTACAACTTTGCAGCTGTTTTCTACTCGTAAAGCTAACACAAAAAGACCAATCTCAACCGATTTCAGCAGAAGCAACAGAGATTTACACACCTCAACTCAATCTAAAAAGTGACCTTTCAAGGGAAAAAATCTCCAGTTTTAACCATTCATCAAGTAATTACCTAGAACTTGTGTCCACCGACGACCGCCATCCTTACTGAACTTGGTTGGAGAGACTTGAAATGGGTCACTACAAGTATATCCAGGAAGCCCCAGAGTGAAATTTGCAGGCATTTTGCTATCTACAACTTTCCCAGCAGACTTCCCGATATTCATTTGGAAGGCAGCTCCATAGTTTGCAGGGTCTTGTCTCATGGAAGATAGCACACCTCCTTTACAACAATTGGCCACCTGCAACTTATAAGGAGCTCCAGGCATAAGATCAACAATCACAGGCTTCTTCTCACAACAATGAGGAAGCTCCTTGCCTATGTATTTGGAGCAATTTCCTTGCTGAGTAGCCTCTGCCCCCCACATACTCCATATAACCTCATCACCTTTCCATGACCAGCCAAGTTTCCAACCAGGCAGTTCCACATGGCGAAACAGTTGGAAATTGTATAATGAAACTCTCACCTGTAAGTTTAACATAATGAATTGATTTTGCTAAAAAAAGAGAGGGGGAGAAGTTGTAGGTAGTCGAATGAGCTCCCAAGACTCGATAGTTCGATGAGTTTGAAACGACATTATCTTACAACGAAAAAGGTAGTTGAATGAGCTCCCAAGACTCGATAGTTCGATGAGTTTGAACGACATTATCTTCCAACGAAAAAATGATATGATATTGCTTACAGGAACAACCTTCCTAAGCTAAATGCATTAGATCAAGAAAAAACCTTTCCATTAGATAGGGAAACATAAGACTAAAGTATGTATAGTATATTTGTAACAATCTAAGCCCACCGCTAATAGATACTGTACTTTTTAGACTTTCTCTCAAGATTTCTAAAACGCGTCTGCTAGGGAGAGGTTTTCACGCCCCTTCTAAGTAATGTTTCGTTCCCTCCTCCAATCGAGGTAGGATCTCACAATATTGGAGGCATGTATGTCTAATATCTATTACATAGACGATTTCTCAAACTCGTTTAAGGCCACAATGAGTTTATAGCTATCCATTTGCAGCCTATACTGAGTAACAATTCATGGATCCACTCAATCATAGATCATCTTAAGATAAGACAGAACAACAACATTCTAACACAAGGCTCTTTTATAAACATTCTTAAGTTCATCCAATATCATAGATGATAACAGGGATAAACTAAGAATTGAACAGAAAAATCAGGAATAGAACAGTGATACTTACATCAAAAGTATCCCCATTCTCCACCAAGAAATCCCATGAGATAGTAACGTTGGCATAAGGGTCCAAGGAATCATATTCATCTGTATTTCAATCTATAAGGTTTATATTAAATTTCTTCTATTCCTTCACAACAGAACCCTTTGTTCAAACGAAACAGAACACAAACAAAACATACAAAGAAGAGGAAAATACTTACAGGAGGGCGAGAAAGAGCAGGTGAGAGAGAAGAAGATCAAAAGAAAGGCAATGAAATTTGATCTTTGATCCAGAAACAAACATGGGATTGTTTGGAAAACGGAAAAGAACGGATTCTCCATACCCTAAACAAGATTGATATTCAAAACCCCAAATAGAGAGCCAGTGGGGGATTTTCAATGAAATCTGAGTTTGGAAACTGTAGGAAATGGAGGCGGCTGGGGATCTCGTGGTTTGAATGTGAAATGTTTGAGATCGAAAAGGGGAAACGAAGGAGATGAAGAAGAATGCATAATGGGGATTGAATGCATGGCGTTACGGTAATACAATGCGTCAGTTCGTACTGAATTTGCACTAATGATCCTTCCCATCTGCCGACCGTTTTGACTTCTTTTCTCTTTTTTTTTTTTTTTAAATAGAAAATTATTTTTGTTATTTGAATTTAAATCTCTAATTTCTTGATATGATATCTTAGGTTATTTTTTCATTTTTTAAAAATGAAGGTTAAGAGACTAGCTTCTGCATTTGGCAAGTTCGGGGTGATTAGTACGGTGTTTGTAGCCAATGGGTTGAGTGTCTCGGGCGCAATTGTGTGATTTGTCTTCATTTCAATCACTATTGATCCCCAATTTGTCTACAATATTGATTGCTTGATGTGACATCTCGTGTCAAGGTAGAGATCATCTTTATCTAATGCGACCAATACTATGAGGTCCCACGTCGGTTGGAGAGGGGAACAAATCTTTCCTTATAAAGGTGTGGAGTCATCTCTTTGGTAGAAGCATTTTAAAATTTTTTTAGGAGAACCCCAAAAGAGAAGAGCTAAAAAGGACAAGGACAATATTTTCTAACAGTGCACTAGAGTTGTTACATGAATCGTGCAAGCTAATGTTCTAGCCTCTAGAAACTCTCGATATGTCTTGGTCAATGGAACATGGATGACAGCTCTCCCTTTGTGCAAGGTTCAAGCCCGCCAGACGTTGCTATTTATCTTATTCCAACATAATAATCGAGCCATTTTTTGTTCTTACTCTTTCCGTGGTTGATTTTCTACTCCTAAATGGAACTCGGGTATGGTCGTGATAGTTAATCTTTGGGTCATGTCACACGTAGATATTTGAACAAACAATTTTTTTTTTTTTTTGCTCATTTAACATATTTGTGTCGTTAAATTTGTGAAGATTTATTTTAAGGATATTTCGTTTTTGCATCCATAGTTGTTACAAAGTTAAAATATTTGTTAAAGTCGAAACATTTTTCTAGACCTAACCCAGTTATTCGAGTAGTAAATTTTTTAATGTTAAATTGGGACAAGTGGTTTAGGTTATTTATTTAAAATTTTATTTTTAATAAAAGTAAAATGTTAATATTATAAAGTTTTCATCCAACGGTGAGCACGTTTAAACAGTACGAATTATATATATAATGATTTGATGAACATAGCGATTCTAATTGAACATCGCGTAGAGAGAGAAATGCCTCAGCCGAGCAAAGAACCCTGCAAGAAGGAGGCGTGTGACATTCAAGCTTGTCTCTCCAAAAACAACTTTCTTCCTCACAAGTAAGTTTAGATTAAGATTTTCCGTTTGTGTTTGTTTCCCGAGGAATCTCCGATGAAAGAATCTCAAGTTTCTAGGCTGTTCTGTTCATCGATGTTTGATCTTGTTCGTTTTAGTGATTTGCATGAATCGTAGGATAGATGGATTGAATTTGAATCTTTTATTTCTTTCTTTGTTTTCCTGTATCTGTTGACGGAACTGTGGACTGCTGTATATTCTTTGTGCTTTGCGTTATTTCTTCCCTTTGAATTATCAGTTATCTCCGTCTGTCGTGAGATCAAGCAAAGAACGAATTAAGCTATAAAGCAGAAATGCGTTTTTATTTGATTCCTCTGTAAGGAAAACATTTGGGCTTTTACTTTTCCCTATGTTTGATCCGTTTCATTTCTCTTCGTGTTTGGTTCATCGACTCACGCACTTAGACCAAGTATTGTAGTTCTTGCTTTGGGAAATTTCGAATAGATTACGGAGGTCTGTGTCTGTGCTAAGAAATTTGTAGAATGTCAGACACCATAAAACATGTCGTTCTTCTTCAAAATTTTGTCAGTAGTTTCTAGATGCGATCAAAATTCTGCTGGAAGGTTGTTCAAAATGTGGAAATTCAATCAACATAATTTTTTTGTGACTATTTTAGTTTAGTTCAAATTTTGAGTTCACTGGAATTGATCATACATTTGACAGGCATTATGTCGAATGGATGTTGAAGTTTGTTTGTCTTTTTTATGTGTGTGTACAACTTTATACTGTATACATAAGGTGTGTGTTGTAGTTCTATGATTATCTTCTGATCAGCAAGTAGCTGGATTTTGTTTTAGTAACGATGTGATTCTTGGAAAACTTGCTGTCCTGATTCAGGAAAAATGTTGTTTTAAACTCAAATTGCTGATCCACAAACAGAATTCCATATCAAGTTTATTCATTTTTCTTCGGAACACTTCATAGAACGCATGCCTAGGATATCAACCCCATTTCCAAAAAAGCCAATTTGATAGATTCATCAATAATCTCGGAGGTTCCAGCTTTCAAGCCCTTGAATCCAACTTCCCTCGGACTGGTCTCAAGTCCCTATGAAGTTTCAATATATTGGGATGTCTCCTAAATTTTTGTTCATTGAATATGTCACTTCGATAGAAGAGTAATGGAGGCTAAGGTATTCTGCTGCTTGGCTACAGCTTCTGCTTGGGGGGAACCTAGAAGCTAGGTTGCAGCTCTCCATTCAATTTCCCAAAATGGTATTTTAACCTTTGAGAGGCCATTTGGGATCCTGGTTTGAAATCAAAAACCTTGGGATTTTGGAACCCATGGGGTTGATTGGTTGTATTCCTGAAGTTTGGGGTTTCCGAAGCCGTTTGGGGTGCAGGGTCGGGTTGGTTGGGTTTTCGAAACTTTGTGTTTGAGGTGTAGGGTTAAGTTGGACTAGGTTCCAATAACCAGTTTTTTTGGGATGTTCTTTAGTTTCCATTCTTTGTGACTTGATAATATGTTTTGAACTATATATCAATATTCTGTCCCAATTTGTATAATTTGGCTCAGCCGTATTCAAATTTGTAATTATACTTCGTGCATCTTTTGTAACCAGTCTATGTCTCTCACTTCATACATGGTGATATCATTTTCAATATCACCATATTGAATGTAGAATGAATAACTCTAAAGTAGGAAGTATACATTAAAAAATCCATGGTTAAAGATCGGGTTTTTTAGTCTTTTGATTTTTCTTTTTCTGTGAATTGTTCTTTGATATAATCTTGCTGAATTTTTGGACAATCTACTAGAAAACAATTGTTCCATCCATCCAAACCAATGGATCAAACGGCCGCTCATTTGTTTTCCTCCTCATTCTGTGGATTAGCAATTTAGGCCACTTTAATTCTATATTCCCTGGAATCGGGCGACAAATACCAACTCTTAGATGACTCATTACACTTCTCTTAGATGTTGATGACTATTTTTTTGTGTTTTGGGGGAAGGCTTTTGCGTGTAGATAAGTTGATGTGTCCCTGATAAGTGTGTGGATTGACATGGTTGTAGGTGCGTCAGGGTTATTCAACTATTGCAGTATTGCTGTGAAAACTGCAATTACAAGTCAACACACTGTGCTTCTGTTTCTGACCTCTTAAAGCAAATGCCAAAGCCGAAAGGACAGAAATCTTGATTCAAGTCGAGCCAGATGTAATTCAGTCTAGAGGGTAACAAACTAAATTAGGTGTTTACTTATAACTCAAGCCAACATATTATGGGATGGCACAGCCAATGCTGGAAGCTGAATTCTGCAAGTTTTGCAAAATAGTGCAGATGGAAGAGATGAGACCAGAAAACCAAAATCTTTGATAGATCAACATGAACTAATGCTAATTTTGTTACCATTTCTTCACAAAGCCATCAACTTGCAAATCAACCTTTGTGTCCACTCTCTGTTCTCTAATAAAATATTTTCTCCATATGTTTAACCAAGATACAGGTTAATTTTGGCCCTTTTTCATTTTGCATCTTCTGATTTTGATACAAAAATTACTTGAAAGGATTGATTGAACTTGAATGATTCCCAATACGGACATGAACATAAAAGTGATTTGTTCATTTACATGTATACCTTCTTTTGAAAGAATGGGTCAAGTCGTGTCTTAGAGAAGTACACCAAGAAACAAAAGGAAGTTTCAATCACCTTCACCTTCCTCATGAGTGCTACATGCTTTTGATACGACATGAATAATGAAAACCAAGGTGATTTTTGCAACATCGAGAATGAAATGGTCAAGTAGAAGAACCAAGAGAGAAGCCAAGAGAGTTTTGATATGTGGAGAGAGAGGCAATATGTATTACCAATTGATTGATAAAGAATTCTGTTGGCTTGCATCTTTCATATGAATTTTGTGGAGTCGCAAGAACTTGTGTACAAAGGCAATAGGCATTACCCCCATTCATTGTCAAGTCTTGGGAGATAGGATGGAAATGATAGAAAATTCTCACCTTTCTATCTTCTACTTTATCCACAAAGGAACATCAAGGGGGTAGAAATTTGTGATAGAATACAAGTTGATGTCGGTATGAAACCTGAACAAAACCAATACTTGTTTTTTAGGCATCAAGGCAACCTCAAGGAATCTTGCCGTCTAAGAGGAATGCCTTCCGCACCACTAAAACCATCCTCATCAGCATGCTTAGAGAGCCGCAATGAGTTTCCCACTGAACCTGCATCAGCTTGCAAAGTTATGGACTAAATTCAACTTTTGTGAAAAAACATATGCTTCAATGTTCAATAAGTGATAGTAGCAGGCTGTTCTTATTCACATTAAACACGGCAAAGACTGTCCATCCTCCAATGCCTCTTGGAAGAAAAAATTCTAGAGAGTTATCGATCTTGCAATCAAAAGGTGGGATGGAGACATATTACAGACCCTAGTTTGAACAAAAATACTTCCTAACACTCCGTCTTAATTTTGATTATGGCTAGAACAAAAAAAAAACGTTTTTTTTTTTTTTTTTTTTTTTTTGCTTCTATTTTGGGTAAGCAACAATCCAATCTGTTTAAGGTTGAAGAAGAAATACTGATAAGGCCCTCAAAATAACAGTCAATGGCTTCAAAGCAACCACGAGTCCAGAAATTCAAAGGTAAGTAATAAATCTCCACTCAACCACCATATTCCTTAGTAAACTTAGGTACATAATGCTTTTCTCCCGACCATCTCTCGATTTGTAAATGAAAAGATCCAAATGTCTTCCATTTTCCAATATGACGAAGAATTTTCTTATCTTCAAGATAACTTTCGCAAACATTTATCACCCATAAGAGGAATAATAACAAAAGAAGCTTCAAAGTGATCCTCTAAAACCTCCTTTATGTCCAACCAATCATCCTCAGCCAATAATCTAGAAATTACCAAAAGTGAACTTCAATCTTCTTCCACAACTTCCCTTTCTTTTTTCACCCCGAAAGAATGAGATAACTTCTCATAAGACGATAAAACCTAATAACTTTTAACAATATCTACATAAGATATTTCATCTCTCATCTTAGATAGTTGTTTGATAATTAAAACCCCTTATTATCTCTTAGGACAGGCTTTGGGTGTAGCCGTGTAGGACAAGGCCTCTTCGGATATGAGTGGGGTGGACCATTATACGAGGTTCCTGATACCCAGCTATCAAAAAAAAAAAAAAAAAAAAAAAAAAAAAAAAAAAAAAAANNTCTTCGTAGGAAAGAAATAAACAGAGATTACAAAAGAAAGAAAAAAACCAAAGTGATAACGGCAGCATAATTTTTAATATGTTCATTTTATTGCTAATAAAATAAATATTGATGACAATGTCCTAAGAAAGAGATAGGAAGCCATACCATCAGCCATGTCCTTTGTTTTATGAAGAAGAAAAGTTCCTGAAAGAATGGTCACAAATCCACACATCTCCGTTACAACCTGTGTTGGGCTTTGCCTGTCCCAGTCCTGAAACAAGTAATTCAAAAGATGTTGAAATCTACCTTCATTTAAATATGTAAAGGGAACAATTCTAATGTTCTACATTGTCACTAATGTATAACAGGAATGATTGAAGCGCCATATGAGTCCAAATTGTTATGTGTTGCTCCTTTGTTTTTGATTCTTAGTTCAAGTTCCCTGTAATTTCCTGTTGGAGTCCCTCTCCTTGCTGGCTTTTGTCTGTGTTTTTATATCCTAGGGTAGCATGCTTTCATTACCCTTAATGAAAGGAATATGTTGTCCGAAAGAGAGTGAGAGAGAGAGAGAGAGAGATCTGTTTAAATATGAAGTATGGTCTGACACTGATACCAAGAACGTAACGATGCACTATGGATTCTAGATCCATCTATAAACTAGAACAGACACTGACTCATATAACCAGGCAACAGCAAGAAAGGATATTCAAGCATGCAAAACCCCAAACGTTTCTCATCAATGTGATCCTTATTGCGGGGAGTCAAATTTTTAAACATACCATGATACATTTGATCATATTGTGCGTGTAAAGGAACCAACATCAGCAGTCGGACAAACCTTAAACATGATCACACTGGCCAAGATGGTAAATGATGTGAACATAACGTAGTATATTGGGGACACAACAGCTGTATTAAAAGTGTCCAGTGCCTGCAAACAAAGAGAGAAGAAATACATTGGCCAGATGAGATCATACACAAAGTTGTATATTTAGATAAGAATTGAGAAAAAGTAAACAAATCGGTGAAATGTAAAAGATATACAAAGAGAGCTCCATTTTAAAGCTAGTTCAATCATCTATGGGGGGCATCGATAATGTAGGAATCCACAACTATCTTGAAAGTTTCTATTTCTTTCAAACCAGATTTCCCAGATAAGGAACTTGCTAATGTTGTTCCAATGAACTTTCATCTTACCTCAAAAAGGATTCCTGCATAAAGTCTGAAAAATAAGAATCCCCCTAACATTTCTTGGGAAGCACCGTTAAATTCCAAAGATGTTTAGGATAGTCAATCTGCACATTATACCACATTTAGAGAATGAGTGATCTAAAGTTTCACCCCCATTTTTGCAAGGAAGCACCAGATAGGAGAAATTAAGGTGTTTGGATGACATTTATGTTCTTTCATACGTGTGGACTCCTTTCCAGCATATGGATCAAATGTAGAAGATTTTTTTTTTTTTTTCAGGCACTCTCTGTTCCAAATCTCTTTCCACAAGTCTTTTCCAAATACTGAAACTCCTCTTCCACTAAGATGAAGAAACTTACAAAAACCCAATACCACAAGAAACAAAGGGCAAGAGCAAACAAAAAGCACAAATTAAAAAAAAAAAAGGTGGGTGGGGGAAGTGCAAGTGCGATTAACAGTTATGAGAGATCAAAAGAGGTGGAAGTTCTTAACCAATGTAGACCCCAACCCTGTACCAATTCCTTCATATAACTGTGAACAACCCGCATCATTCCAAACTCATTATAGCAAAACAAGCTGGAAGAACTAACTTACGTTGAATGAAGAGATGACCCTAATTTTCTTCATTTTGGCAGCACAACACTCACCACAACACTACTACAGTAATCTCCTCTTAGTCTTGATCCCTCTTGAGTATTAAGGTCTACTCTTGAAACAACCTGTTTCAAATGATCTTGGTGATTTCTTCAGGAAGAAAAATCATGTTTTATGATAGCTACCAAACGAATTTGGTTAAAACTCTCATGGATCACTTTAACGTTCACACCCTTCTATCCATGGATGGATTTGGTTAAGTCATTCATCAATCACTTAATATCCCTTTCTTCTTGATCACAGGGAAACAGTTCCAAATAAATTGCATTGTTTTGGTTCTTTTGCACTAATATCCCTTTTGCATTGTTTGGATTGCTTCGCCTTTAATAATCTGGTACTAGTTCAGAAAAGAAACGGAGTACAAACTTCAAACCAACTCATCTTATATACTCAGAGTTGAATAGCTATCTATTCCAATTTTTTTTAAAAAAATACCGGAGATTAAATTATTAACTCTATGAACCATAACTATCATATAATAACAATACAGGGCCAAAGCTAAAAATGTTTCTGAAAATACCCTAAATGAGCACAACATACCTTGTTTAAATAATTCATCTGGGTGAGCACACAAGTAATCACAACTAAAGTAAATATCCACGTTTGAGGATATATTAACTGGTTCATTCCTGACAATGTTAGCTTCAAGGCAATTCCTATTGCTTTGACACTCATGACCTGTTGTTAGACATTCAGTTACAAAATCACTTGAAGAACAAGGAAAAAACTTATACTGGAGCAGATAACATTTAGAAAATACAAAGGTAACAGGGAAGCTAGATGGATACATACCGACAAAGATCCTACAAGGGAACATACACCAATGTAAACCATAATGTGAGTCTGGCCATATTGTGGTATAAAGTGGAATATGAGTATAAACACAGTTGTCATGACCGATGCTGCATACAACAGAAAGGCTGCAAAATAAAAGGTAAAGTTACTACCAACATGATATTTGAATAAAATAAATGACTGCTTAAAACCGAAGAATCATATATAGAATACAAAAACAAAAGATAGTGAATCATGTTCAAGATCACTTTCCAGAGAACCAAGATACATATATGTCAAGCAAGATTTGAACTCATGCTCTTGACTCATGCACCCCATATATGGTGGTGAGCTTTCACATTTAAGAAGAGAATGCAGAAAAGATGAAGTTAACAGTCTTTATTTTATTGTGGAGACACCAAAAAAGGCCATATTGGTTTAATACGAAGCTCCAATGCTTCTAGCTACACTTGTGAGTGAGAAAAGAGTCGCCAACAGTTCCTCTTTGCTTCTTCACTAAAACAACTTTGAGAGGGCAGGCTACAATATGGAAATAATATTTTGTTCAAAACAATGTAGACTCGTGATTGGAAATGGTTGCTCCATGAGGTTTTGGAATGGCCTCTGAGAAGTGGATTGCACACTCTTCACAATTTGTAAATCCATTTAGAATGAACAACTTAAAAAGAGAAAAAATATATAACAAAACTCTTGTCTATAAAAAGAAGAAAATAAAATAAAGAAAGAACAATAATAATAGCCAAAATCACTATTAACCAGAATCAATGACATTTGAAAGAGAGGGACGGAATTTCACAATAACAAAAACTTACCTGGCTCCATGGCCATTTGCCACACTTCAGTTACAGATTCAATTTCACGTTCTTGAGGAGCATGGAGCACAATGGTTGTGGAACCCACTACACAAAGAACGCATCCAAGAATTCCAAAAATATGCAACCTCTCCCGCAAAATAATATGTGCAAGTACTGCACTGCAAGATATCAAGATAATATGAGATTAACAACCATAAATTCTAACTTAATATGTGTGCAATTTCAGACCATGCCTGATAATTATGCTGAGAGCACCAAGTGGAGTAACCAGTAACGCTGGAGCAAATGCATAAGCCGCAAAATTAGCAATTTCTCCTACAATCACTGTAAAGATAACAATTGTCAGGTTAGGATTTATGCTTTTATTCACTGTAACTTTATGTTTTCATTCCATGAGCATTAGTCTCTTTTCATTCTTCATTAAAAAGTTCCATTTCTTGTTTAAAAAATATATATAATAACAATTGCGAGGTTAGGATTTCCCTTTTTATGTTGTTCCAGTTTCAAAAAAAAAAAAAAAAAAAAAAAAATCCTTTCATTATACATCAGTCTATTCAAAAGGATTATATGCTTTGCTACAATAAAACGTCACCATGCTAGTTTTACAGAGAATACATTGATATCTAAGTCCACTTTTACTGGAAAAGGAAAAGCCCCGGCCCCTACGTCCTTTTTTCCATTAATATTTGAGAACAATGACAATAATTTGCTCTTTTCTGTACATTTATTGAAACTAAATGCACTGAATAGAGGAAGAAGCCAAATACCTAATCACTTGTTCACAGAAAATGTTTGCTTAATAGAGGAACATCCGGTCTTATGGGCTGATCGAAAATCTTACATATAAATTCAGAAATCTGTTTGGTGGGAGATCTTACAAGTAAATTCAGTGATCTCTATTTAGTGATTACATGTTCCTAAAAAAGGTGCCACACTGTATCAAAATAACAACGTGTACTGATTGTATATAAAGTTCAAAAAGAGCTAGTGGATCCTAAATGTTCATTTAGTATCTAAAGGACTTGAAAAGAAACTGAACACAGCAGTATGTCAAGCCTGGCTGGGAAAAAAATAATAAAGACCTTTATAAGCTACATTATAAAAAGCCAGAAAGACTTACTTGTAATCATGCCCACCCACCATAGCGGCTCGTATAAGTAAGAATAGCCTCCAACTCCTGACATAAATCATCACAGCAACCACAGTAAAAATCTGCTAGATAACAGTTACCGTCCACTTAAAGCATGATTAAAGATAAGCAAGCGCCTATCATCAACTTCAGAGACGATAAGTCCCTAGACAAAAATCATGAAGGCTAAACACAATGGTATTCGTGATGTTGATAAAATTAAAACATACTGAATTAAATTCACAACATTTAGCGCAGTTCTGATACTTAAAAAGGGATTAAATAAACCTTTTTTGGCAATAGGCCTCCAAATAAGCAAGTACTACAATTGATTAACTAATGGGTATAATAGATTCAATTTTCCAATTCAAATCAACCAAAACTATCGAAAAACTCATTAAAAGCATGACCCACCACTAATTAAGAACGGGCCAAGACATGAAACACTAATTGCACATAATTAACACTCAATTACAGAAGTTTCTAAAAGTCCCTCGAGGAGTCAAAAACAAAGAAATCCAGGAACTACATTAACACCTTTTTGTGGTAAATTGAAGCAAACAAGAAGAGAGAGTAAGATACCTGCTCTGACTCCTGAAGCGCCGGCTTTCTTCAAGCCCTTTTTCTTAACAATGAAGCTAGCACCAATAAAGAAACTAGAGGAAAGAGCAAGAACCAAGCCCTTAATGTTATCAGAGGACATACCCTCCCGCCAACTCGGAGTTTGGGAGGTTGCCATGGCCAAGAGAAACCCTAGCTTCCAAGCTTGGAAACCATATCATAACATCAATGAAAAGCACAATTCAGAAGGATGCTCAGAACGCCACTGAATCAATTGGAAGTGGAAGCAAATTGATATCGGATCTTGAGGCGAGAAAAACTCAGATCGAGATTATGTAAAGTAAATTGTCGGCGCTCGAGACTGTTGTTGAACACAGCGAGGAGATTACTTGGATCGGAAGAGAGAGAGAGAGAAGAGATCTAAAAATCTTGATTTAGTTTTACCAAAATAATGACCACTCACTGACTATTGTCTATTTATTTCCAAACAATAACAATTCCAAAAAAAAAAAAAATCTCAAGAAGCTACCACCTTCTTTGATCTTACGAAAACGAACGAATGTCGATACGTGGTCTTACGACTTTGTGAAGACATGTGGTAAATAATTGTTCGGGTTCGATCACTTTGACCCTTTTGTGGGGAGGCGCTTGTGATATCGCACATTGGTTGGGGAGGAGAACAAACCACCATTTATAAAGTGTGGAAATCTTCCCCTAATAGACGTGTTTTAAAACCTTGAGGGGAAGCGTGAGAGGGAAAGCCCAAAGAGTACAATATTTGCAAGCGGTAGATATGGGTCGTTACAAATGGTATCAGAGCCAGACACCGGACGATGTGTCAGCCTTCTCGTTGTTCCCCGAATGAGGGTAGGTACAAGGTGGTGTGCCAGTAAGGGCGTTGGGCCCCAAAGAGGATGGATTTGGGGGCAGTCCCACATCAATTGGAGAAAAGAAAGAGTGACTACGAGGACGTTGGACCCCAAAGGGGGTGATGGATTGTGATGTCCCACATTGGTTAGGGAGGAGAACAAATCACAATTCATAAGGGTGTAAACCTTTCCCTAGCAGACGCCTTTTAAAGTCTTAAAGGAAAGCTCAAAGAGGACAATATTTGCTAGCGGTGGATCTAAGTCATTACACATTCCTACTTTTTCTGGCTCAGTTTTCAAGCATCGATTGATTTAAAACACCTAGAACGGATACTACAACCCAATTGAACTTTTTCAACACATAAGAAAATGGTATGAACATCTCTACTTAATGGCATGGATATACATCACGAGCAACAGAAGTAATACAATAGAGTATTCCAAAGATCGTTCACAGGAAAAAGTTAACTCGAATACAAGACTCAAACAACTAAGACGTACTAGGTTCTTAAGAAATAGAATACTAAGACAATGCGTCAAACGTATAAATTGAATAATGTAAAAATTATCGACCTGAAATAATAAGATGATATTGGTTTGGCTCGAGATCCCCTCGTAATGCATTGTCACTCGAATTAACCATGTATGTACGGTTTTCTTTTCAATTAGACATACGTTTCTACTTCCCCTCAAACTTTACATCCACGACGTTGAGTACTATGAACCTATATATTTCTATACAAAATTCATTAGCAAGCAACCCGACCTAATAATATAATAAACGTAACTAATTCTAAGCTCCCGAGCCCATATCGTTGTCGTTGCCCTCGAACTCGGTTACACCAAGATCGAGAAGATTCCAGAATCTTCTAAGGTTGAGTTCTGCGAGTTTCGCCGGATTTGGGCCGGCGAAGATTGTGAAGTTAAGGAGGACGAGGAGGATGTTGGGAGGATTCCGCCGTGGGAGATTCTTCAACCGATTTGGAGAGTGTTGGGCCAGTGAGTAAAATTTTCATTCTTGGTAAATTAATAATAAAATAATAAATTATTATATTCAAATTGACAATATATCTCAATTTTAATTTTAAAAACAAAATCAAACAATTAAATGTAATTTTATCAAATTGGGTCACATATGGTATTGGGCCAAGCTCAAACAAAGCCCAAGCCCAAAGTCAACAAACCCAAGTCCAAATGGTTGGGCCTAAAAGCCATTAAAGCCCAAACCCACGTGTCCGTAAGAAAATCTCACTGAGATCGAAGAAGTTTATTTATTTATTTACTGCATTTTTCAAATATATTTTGTTGTTATATGGTTTTATATGGTTTAACCTTTTACCACAGACATTTGAAAGGGTAACTTTCGTATTTTTTACTATAATTAATCACGGAATAAATATAATCTTAAGGTAAATAAAAAAGTCTTAAAATACATTAACAAAACTATCGTAACGGTAGATTATCATTTATCCAAAATTTGTAACTATTCACCATATCCCAACATATATCTATTGGATGTTCGGAAGTACCATATTTTACTGAGTCATGAATCTTTACCAATAGTAAATGGTCATTGATTATCTACGACACGTTATTTGACAAATATAAAAAAAATTGTTACAGTATAACCCGGTCTACAATGAAACAAACAACGACAAAGGGACGACTTGAAAGACTTATATTGTCCACTCTTTTGTTTTTTTTTGGTGGCTATGACTTTGTCCCAATTCTTAATGCTGTAGTTGTTAAAGTCTTGCCTATTTAATTATAATAAGATTATTCTTAGTCAAATCAATTCTTTATTACATAAAATATATTATTATTTAAACATTTAAATCTTTTTAAGAATTTAAATAAACAAAATTAAACTATATTAAATGATGTATAAATTCGATTGTAATGTTTATTATTATATTAAATTCTGGATTTATAATCTAAGAATACACTCTTCATTGGTATGAGGCCTTTTGGGAAGCCCAAAGCAAAGCCATGAGAACTTATGCTCAAAGTGAATAATATCATACCATTGTGGAGAGTCGTGTTCGTCTAACATGGTATCAGAGCCATGCCCTAAACTTAGCCGTGTCAATAGATTGGCAAATCCTTAAATATCGAACAAAGAACTCCAAAAGGAGTCAAGCCTCCTCGAAGGTACGAAGGCAGTCAAAAATGACTATGACTCCAAAGGAGTCGAGCCTCGATTAAGGGGAGGCGTGCTTTGTTCGAGGGGAGGTGTTGGATGATGAAAGTCCCACATCGGCTAATTTAGGGAATGATCATGGGTTTATAATCTAAGAATACACTCTTCATTGGTATGAGGCCTTTTGGGAAGCCCAAAGCAAAGCCATGAGAGCTTATGCTCAAAGTGGACAATATCATACCATTGTGGAGAGTCGTGGCCCAAAGCAAAGCCATGAGAGCTTATGCTCAAAGTGGACAATATCATACCATTGTGGAGAGTCGTGTTCGTAAGCAAAGCCATGAGAGCTTATGCTCAAAGTGGACAATATCATACCATTGTGGAGAGTCGTGTTCGTCTAACAAGCCATGAGAGCTTATGCTCAAAGTGGACAATATCATNCCATTGTGGAGAGTCGTGTTCGTCTAACATGCCATGAGAGCTTATGCTCAAAGTGGACAATATCATACCATTGTGGAGAGTCGTGTTCGTCTAACATATATATATATACATATATACATACATATATACATATATATATATATATATATATATATATATATGTATATATATATATATGTATATTTGGCGGTAAAAAAGTGTATTAAAGGGTTTTCCATGACTTTTCTATCCCAAAGTTTGGCATAGATAAAAACAAAATTAGAAATTTACCACCATCTCTATCTGTAGCTTTCAAATAAGATATACAATATATGGGGAAGAAATTAAAGTCCTAGTCTACACGGTGAGGTGACGTATTAATTTTAAATAAGGTTTCATATTTGTTATTTTCTTCGATATTTTTAGTTTTTTTAGTATTTTTATTTAAATTAAAAAAAAAAAACGAGGATCTTCCGCTATAAATGCACATATTTTTTACATGTTGTTAATCGTCTTCAAAATTTTAGCATTAAACTTAAATAACGTGTTGAAGTTTCGAAAATCTTGTTCATAGGTACATAAAATTTAAGGTTAATAGGTTGAAGATATTTGCAAGTGTCTTTCATGACTTTTGTGACCCACATATTTCAAGCATCTTTAGATAGGGAGAGAGGAGTTGGTTTGGATACATAAATGGCGGAGTTTGGAGCATTCATTCTTCACCATTCCATTAGCCACAATGATATCATCACTCACTCTAACCTGCTACTCTTCTTCCATCCATTTCTTCCTTTTACTTTCCATGGGATTCCATCTCTCCCTGCAAAACGATATCAGATGTATGGAAACTGAAACACAGGCCCTCTTATCCTTCAAGCAAGGACTTCTCGATCCATATCGTGTTCTCTCTTCTTGGAATGCAGGAGCCAACGTCGATTGTTGCGACTGGAGAGGTGTCCGATGTAGCAACAATACAAGCAGTAGTCCTCACATCATTGGGCTTGATCTTCGTGGCTCGGGTGATGAGCGTTTGATCGGTGAGGTTGGTTCTTCCTTGACTCAGTTGACACACCTCGACTACTTAGATCTTAGTTCTAACGAGTTTGATCGAATTTCCCTTCAAGATATTGGCTCTCTGATCAATTTGAATTATCTCAACCTATCTCGCAACAACTTTGCAACTCCCATTTCTCCCCATCTTGGGAACCTTTCGAACTTGTCAGTTCTTGACCTTGGATCAAACGGTTGGGTAGCTGATAATCTTAGATGGGTCTCACGTCTTTCGTCGTTAAAACATCTCGACCTGAGTTCAGTAGACCTTCGTAGTGCCAATGATTGGGCAGGTATCATGAGCAAACTTCCTGTTTTACAACGTTTGTCTTTGAGCAATTGCAGTCTTCCACAACCTGTTCTAAACCCTTATGAAAACACCAATTTCTCTAGATTTCTAGCTAAATTGGACCTCTCTCTCAATCATGATCTCAATTCCTCAATCTATTCTTGGCTGAACAACTTCAGAAACAGTCTTACCCATTTAGATCTTACAAGGAGTAATCTGCAAGGTTTCAACATGGACGGTTTTGAGAACATGACTTCGCTCGTCTTCCTTAATCTTCGTTCCACGAAAGTTGATTTTCATTCTCCCAAGTGGTTTAAGAATCTCTGTAACTTGAAGTTGCTAGATTTATCTGGAAATAATGGGGGAGGATTGCTATCAGATGTTCTTAAACTCTTCCCACAATGTGTACTCAACTCATTGGAGACTTTATATCTCCCGTCAAACAAATTGTTCGGATCCTTGCCAGACTTCACTCTTTTTCCATCTTTGAAAGAGTTGGAATTATCCTTCAACATGTTGAATGGATCTATTCCTCAAAGTTTGGGACAGTTATCTAACTTGGAGCATATAGGTCTGAATCAAAATGTTCTGGAGGGTGAAGTTTCTGAAGCTCATTTTTCCAAGCTTGTAAATTTAAAAAGTCTGAACCTAGATGGAAACTTACTGGCTTTTAACTTCAAGGAGGACTGGGTT